TGAGTTTGAAAACATTCATTTATTATAAAACTTTGAATAATTTTACTAGTAGTTCTGCTAAAAAAAAAAAAAGTCCATTAATGAACAAAACAATCAGCCAAACAACATCATGAACATCGCACAATATTACATTGATAAAACACTGAAGGCCTTTGAGGTGATTTTCACTATTGACAACTGAGACAGATGGTGGCAGTTGCATTTGTAAGAAACAAGAGAGTACGAAAGTAGTGCCAGTTTCAGTTACCCAGATAAGCGGTCTAATATAGAGCATTGATACTGACGACTGCAAATATTTGGAAATATCGGGCCACTGGATGAAGCGGTTTACCATTTGGAATCAGGTATACCAGACAGCGGTGTACCTATGTAAATTGAAGTCCTAAAACTGGTGTGCTACAAACAAACTTGCTTTAGCGTTTTATACTTTTGATGTATTTTTCCCCCACATTTTGAGCGTTCAACTCTATTTCTCTTTAACTTTTTTGTTGACTAATGTGCCCTCTTAGGCCTCCCTTGTTTTTAAGGTTTCAGGGCCAAGTGGTGTGAAGTGACTGCATGAAAAAGGGGAAAATACGAAAGAGCCACCCGAGGCCCGACTCCCTCCAGTGTCTCTGTTTTTCACTGTCAGCACTTGCGGAGTCCAGTATTGAGACCTGCGTTCAACGGAGCATTGAGGTTTGCGAGGGAAAGAAGAATGAGCGAACTGGGGGAGAAAATGGCCATCAGGGACAATCTCATTTACAGATGAGAGACTTTCCCATCACTGCCTTCTGTTCCTCGTGAATCGCTCACTCTGTCTCTCCCTCCCTCCATCATTAATTTCTTTTTCACCCCTTTCGATTTATATCACTCCCTCCTTCTCTTTAATAACCCTCCCACCATCTCTCTTTAAGTGATGCTCTCTCACTCTACCTCTCTCTCCCAGGTCCTTGTCCATTCTAAGAGCATCCATCCATCACGGCAGAACAGAGTGGATCGGCTAATGCCAGCTCAGAGCTCAGAGAGCAGATCTGACCAGCTGAGCTGCTCACAATCCATGCCTTATCTATCAGAGATCCCCCCGAGCCGGTCGTCTCGTCTAGGAAATTGGAATCTTTGTCTCCTTCAGGTATAAAAAAAAGAGATAAAAGGGGTATTCGGTACAACAAGAAATATAACCCATTTGAATCCTCATTTTAAAAGTACTGCCATTGCACTCAATATTCCATGCTATTTATTTTCACCATTGAACATCCTCTGGCCCCGGACATTTATCTAATAAAATATTAACCACAAACAACCTTGTGAAGCTCTCTAGATGTTCGCTGCTTGTTTTCATGGACCTCGGGCAAAATTGCTGTGCAGTTGCACTTTTGCAAGAATGCATGGAGACATATCATATGTTGTGGCATCGTGTGAAGAATATTTAGATGTGGATCACAAGGCTAGTGTATGAAGTGAGAAGCACGTGTCTATGTTGACCTGGCCTTCCAATCATAACTCTATATGACCCGTCCTCAGAGTCCTATGGCCCACATCAATCCAATAAATTTGTTCAAAAGTATATCAATAAGCCCTAATATTATACTTTTATCGGTTGCACGTGGCAAATATGTTGCAAGGATTGACTGATAACTTTACACTCTTAAAAGTAAAGGAGGTTTTTGCAGTGAAGCCATGGAAGAAGAATTTTGGGTTCCCCAAAAAAACATTTAGTGAACAGTTCTTAGAAGAGCCATTTTTTCTTAATGTGAGGAACATTTTATAATCTAAATCATCTTTTTCCAATAAAGAACCTTTTATGCATTGAAAAGGTTCCATGGATGTTAAAGATTCTTTATGGACACATAAATGCCGATAAAGAGCCTTTATTTTTAAGAGTGTGTGCGCACTTTATTGCACTTGTCATTGCAGTATATTCTGTATTTTACTTCTCTATGAGGAAAGGATGAATGAAATTTTGATTAATCTACAAAGCAACAACACAGCAACTACAACTGGACATAACAGAGTTTGTTTCAGGTTTACGGACAGCACATCTTGCTTTCACGGCTGGACTTCCTTTCATCAGTTAAGCAAGTTGGCTACTTCAGGCTAGTTCAGACTACAGCCCCAAGAATGAGTGTTTTGCGTATGGCTTACAGCATTTAATGTACAACTGGCATATGAGAGAATACAAGTTGTAATAATGCTGATAGAGTAGAATTGGAGGAAAGGGCATAAATGTCTTTTATCAGAGAGCTTGTGTTATAGGATCCCCGCTGAGACTTCTTCCTTCTGAGATTGTTCTCTCGGAGGACTGAGCATTATGGAAATGTCTGATCATAACTTGAGGAATATTTCTTCCAACACAATCAATATTTCCACATTTATCCTCTGAAAGAGAATGTTTTCTTGCTTTGTGGGACGCCTGTAGAAGTGGGTATGTAAGATGAGCTGTTGGTAATTGATTTATTTCTGGTGAGAATTTTTGTTCTTTGTGAGATGAATTAGATTAAGCCACGTTGATACACGCAGGATAATGGATATTATGCATAAAGACAATGGAAATGGGTGATGGATGATGACAAACAAATCTAATCTGGGTTCCAAAGCAGGCAAGAATGGGAGAATCATAGTGCCATAGAATCACAGTGCCGAAGGATCATTGCGAAAAATTCATTTCCTGAAATATTGACACCCAGGAAAGAAGGATAAAAGAGACGGAGTGTCATAGAGCCAAAAGGTCAGACAGGAAAGTTGGGCTCACAAACAGCCAGACAGATTTTGGCAATAAATATTCCATTTTCATTCAATCTTGTACTGTGTTTTTTGGGTCATTCCACAAAAGTGGTTAATTTTGTGTTTCTCATGAACAAATGTGCAAATAGTGGCTATAACAATGATGTTACTAAAGGCATAAAATAGAAATTATTTTTATAGAATTTAAATAATAATTTTGTATAATAATTTTCTATTACATTTTAGTTAAATATATGGAAATTGTATCTAGTAATTAGTATTTTCTAGTATTATCAAATAAAATGTCTTAAATATATTAACATATAAAATAAAATACATTTACAATTTGTCTCTTTGTATAATTGTAGATTTTATTGCACATATTTTATTTTTAAAAAATCATTTTAAAACATTAATAAACCCCTTAATAAAACTCTTCTCAAAGACAAGCGTCTCCTTTTTTTTTGTCACTTTATTATATATTTAGTCAGGTTTGTCCAGCTTGTTAGCACAGTAAACAATACACTTTCTAATGAAAAATAGATATTTGTAGGCTAATAATATACAAATAAAATATATATTAAAATTATTTTTCTAATAAACACCTTATGGTGTCATGACCTTGAGCAAAAAGTCTACCATGACTAAAAAAGTAAAAAATGTCAACCTTGTCCCTTTTTAAAGCTATATATCAGCATGTAAAAACATTTAAGTTTATCCTGAGATGACACAAAGCTATTTACAAAATAATAATCATAATGATCATTTAAAATACTTCAAATTAACTTCTAAAAATCAGCTTTTAGAAACAGAAAAGGCTTACATTTGGAAGAATTACCTTTATAATCTCCTCATCATGTTTCATCTCCATACCTGCAGAGGTAACAAACAGCATTTACATGAGACAGTGTGTAGTGAGGATATAGGGTTTAGGCCAGGGAACACATTTCTTCAGCAGAAGTGAGAGGGGAAGGAGGGCAGTAATAATTGCTCACTACCAAACAATTCCACCAGTGACATCCCATTACTTTAAACACGACAAAATAAGGCCACCCGCGCGGAGAAAGAATTCACTGAATAAGATATGAAGGGAAAAGGCTGCCGTTATTAGCTGTGTGCGGTTCATCATTAGAAAGCAGCGAGACGGAGCGACTATAACTCTCCTGTTACTAGCAGTAATTACAGCACAAGTGCAGCCCGTTTATTTGTAATAAACTATAACCAGTGTTGGGGAAAGTTACTTTTAAAAGTAATGCATTACAATATTCACATTTGAAAACATTCTCTTGTAAATTAAAAAGTAATGCGTTACTTTACTAGTTACTTGAAAAAAGTAATCTGATTACGTAACTCGCGTTACTTGTAATATATTACCCCCAACACTGACTATAACTGTCTGCGTTCGAGCACATACTCATTTAGCCTCTATATAATAATCAAGAGACAATGCAAGCAATGTTACACCTCTGACAAGTGCGTGCCAGGTCCTAAACTGTATATATATAACGCCTTGGATGTATTTTCGCAAACTTCAGCAAAGTTACAGAAAGGATAAATGCAGCGTGTGTGAGAATGAGACGGACATTCGATTCAGATGATGCGGAATCATTAATGGTGTTATATCGCCACCTAGCGGCCTCAAACTGCAAGTGCATGAGGGTCATTCTGCTCTTATGCGGTACATTTTCATGCCTCCATCAAAAAATAGTGGCTAGGCTACAACATTGAATTAATTTTTTTGTTTTAAATATGGAAATCTTTATGTAAATTAATTATTTAATTTGATCATATTTAAGTAGCACTTATGGGTTCTCCACAAAATAAACTTTGGTTTGAGATGTTATCATTTTCTCTGCTTCCGTCTATGGGCGCCATAGATGTCAAATAAAAAATTGGCAATTTATTGAGAAATATTCCAGGCATTTCTTAATTTTTCTTCTAATTAAAATGTTTCAAACAACTTGGGAATACTGGTTTAACTGGTAAAACTTTTTAAACAACGTTTTTCTTGTCCACAAATCCCCAATTTGAGGTTTGAGGTCACAGAGATTAATGGAAGTGACAGCTCATTCCAAACCAGTGCACTTTTGCTGTCATAAGGAATCTTACATTATGAAACACAGAGAGAACGGCAGAAATAATTGAGTCACTGAAAGCCATTCTTTATTCTTTACCATTATGATAAAGGCTAAATCTAGTGATTAATAAATACAGTTTTTTGTATTAGTCATTAATTGTCAATGTATGTGAGAATGATGATGAAATCACGTACACAAAAATGTTTTAAATAGCTTCATTTCAGTTTAAAATTCCATTCAATACAAAACAGATATTTTCACAAACTCTTTCAACTCAAACCAGCACTAAAAATTCAGCAACTTTTGTTACTGTTTCGCCACTTTTTGACGGGTCTGAGGATCTTAACACTGATTTAAAAATACTTTATAAAATGGAGCAATACTGAACCAGTATCTCAATTGGTTCAACAGGACTGGAGCCATGAATCCCTTAACATAGTTTAACATTTACAAGATGACTATTTTCACTGAACACAAATAAAAAAAGTAACGGACACTGTAATAAATATGAAGCTGATGTAATCTCCTTTGCCGTAATGCATTAAAAAAGCAAAATAAAAAAAATGCTTTAAATGTGGTTTGATTGTTATAAAACAAAATGCTACCAAACTATGTGGGTGAACTACTCAGCATCAGTTCAGTACCCAAAGCCTGATCACTTTATAATCAGAAAAAACAGTGCTGTTTAAAGACATCTTACTACCTTGTAATAATCTACTGACCTATAATTTGCTCCCTGTATTGAAATTCAAACCTTTGCCATTACAAAGCTGCACTCAAATCAGGTTTAAAGGTGTAGTCTCTAAAAAAAGCCCTCGTATACTTGAGGAGAGGTATATTAAGACCACACAAAATACATCAACAATGTCAAAACAATTTGTCTACCAAGGTACACATCACCTCCATGTGCAAAACGAGACAGCTAGAGGATCTGTAACAGCGCACATGTTTTTTTGATGAATTTAAAATGTGCTTTCACATATTAACCATACGCTTTTCGTTAACACGGCTACATTTACAGAGTGCAGAGAGTTCATAGGAGTGTGTTCATCTCCAGGCAGGAGACCACCATGTCTTACAGGCTACAGTTCATCTCTAGCCTGTTTTGCACGCCACGCCGGGTGCCGGGTCACATATTCAGCCGCTAGAAGGACTAACCTCATGAACTCCTCAACATCAAAAGTGTAGTTGGTAAACTTAGGATGTTCCCCAAGAGTAGGGTGGTGACCCTGAGACAGAACAAAATATTAGTAAAATATATATATATAGGTAGCAGCTCTCATCTTGACAGTTGTACCTGTGGAATACAGAAAGAGGGATGTTTTATGTCCCCAACTTAGCAGGCAGTGGCCCACAAAGCCTCCACAGACTCAGTTTGATGGATAACTGTTTAATTAGGCTGTACTTCACTGTCACACACATACAGACACAGTCAGATGCTTCCCTCCTCCGTAACACACACTGACAAGTACATTGTACAGCACAGAAGCTAGACTGCATCCACATGAGTATTGGGTAGATGTATAACATGACATGGGTGTCAGACGCACAGATGCACACTTGGGAATACATCCTAACACATGCAGATAGGTGTCGCAAAAAAATACAGCACTCTGATGCGAATCGTGTTCATTTATCAGTAGAGAAACAGAAAGAACGTTTTTTAAGAAAGGATGCAACCAAATGCTCACGACTAGTGGTTGACGGAGGGTCTAAATATAACATTTTTATAAAAATCAGTCATTGGAGAACCTAGACTAATCGCTCACTTTTCTGTTTCTGCTGTTTCTATGTCAGGTGGTGATGACCCTTGTTTTAAGTTCTTTGAAGAGTCATTGGGATCAAAAGTACCGTTTGGTGTCAGTAAGCTGTTGTTGTTGTTGTTGTTTTTAAAGAAATTAATACTTATATTCAGCAAGCACACATTAAATGGATCAAAAGTGACAGAAAAGGCATTTATAATGTTATAAAATATTTCTATTTTAAATACATGCTGTTCTTTTGACCTTTCTGTTTCTATTTTTATCAACCTGAAAAAAATGTTTCATTGTCTCCACAAAAATATTAAGCAGCACAACTGTTCAACATTGATAATATTAAGAAATGTGTCTTGAGCACCCAGTCAGCAAATTAAAATGATTTCTGAAGGATCGTGCAACACTGAATAGTGGAGTAATGGCTGCTGAAACATGAAACAATACAGTTTAAAATATATTCAAATAGAAAAGAGTTATTTTAAATGGTAATAATATTTCATAGGTGTCGCAAAAAAATACAGCACTCTGATGCGAATCGTGTTCATTTATCAGTAGAGAAACAGAAAGAACGTTTTTTAAGAAAGGATGCAACCAAATGCTCACGACTAGTGGTTGACGGAGGGTCTAAATATAACATTTTTATAAAAATCAGTCATTGGAGAACCTAGACTAATCGCCCACTTTTCTGTTTCTGCTGTTTCTATGTCAGGTGGTGATGACCCTTGTTTTAAGTTCTTTGAAGAGTCATTGGGATCAAAAGTACCGTTTGGTGTCAGTAAGCTGTTGTTGTTGTTTTTAAAGAAATTAATACTTATATTCAGCAAGCACACATTAAATGGATCAAAAGTGACAGAAAAGGCATTTATAATGTTATAAATATTTCTATTTTAAATACATGCTGTTCTTTTGACCTTTCTGTTTCTATTTTTATCAACCTGAAAAAAATGTTTCATTGTCTCCACAAAAATATTAAGCAGCACAACTGTTCAACATTGATAATATTAAGAAATGTGTCTTGAGCACCCAGTCAGCAAATTAAAATGATTTCTGAAGGATCGTGCAACACTGAATAGTGGAGTAATGGCTGCTGAAAATTCAGCTTTGCCATCACAAAAAATACAGTTTAAAATATATTCAAATAGAAAAGAGTTATTTTAAATGGTAATAATATTTCACAATATTACTGTTTTACTCTATTTTTTAATGAAAGAAATGCAGCCTTGCTGAGCAAAAGAGACTTCTTCCAAAAACATGAAAGATTTTTGACTGTGTGACTTTAGCAAATGGTATAAACATTATTTAAACACTGTAAACCGTTACGGATAACTGTTTATATACTTGGAGGGTTTTAAAGTGCCTCTGAAACTTGGGAAAGCGAAGAAGTATTTACATTCCTCTGACTGACAGCTCTAGAGTACAGTATGGCCAGCCACACAGATCATATAGAAAGCAGAGAGATACAAAAGCCACGTACAATTCAAATATGACGGCCCAGTCGGGAAGAAAGAGGAGGTGGGTCAGTCCAGCTCCATGCATCCCAATGAAGATATCAGAGTAGTGTGTGACACGGATCTGCTCCAGAAACGGCATCTCTCTATGAATACACATCACCTTTCAATCATGCAAGCACCAAACTCAAACATCTCCAAAGAAGTCGATACATTTAAAACCAGCATAGACTGAATCACTCACTTGTATTTGTAATCCACCAGCTTGACCTCGAATAAAGGCACAGTCTTCAGGGCATTGATAAGCTACACACACACACACACACACACACACACACACAGTGGGGATTCAGAGGGTGATTAACGAGACCTCACACTCATGTGGACAGTGGCCAAGTAAATCAAGGCTTTTTACCAAGCAGGGGTCTCCAGCAAATAAGAGTTTAAATGCGCAGCTAAAGAAGCAGATTGATAAATTAATGATGAGCAAAGAGAGAGAGAGCATTCACCTCCTGCTGGTTTATTATCCTACGGTACTCAGTGCTTCTTGCCAACAGTGTGACACGAACTTGGCCCTCCTGACAGAACAGAAGGACATCACAGATTTCATACATATTTCAACACACATTTGTATCTTAATATAAATATATAGACTATATACATTTAGTAACATCTATAATCCAGTTTAAAAAGTATTCAGATATATGAATGTATTTTCCTTGGGTGGAAAAAGGGAAAGTAAATGGACATAATATGTGGGATAAGAAAGATCTGGGCCTTACTGACACGAATAAAGACAATGCGAAAGTATAAATTGTCCATCAGCGCCATCTAGTGGCACAAGGTTAATCATGTCAACAACTAAAAAGTACATAATTTATAACTAAACTATAATATACATATGACATTAATCTATATATTATTGGAAATCCACCTACACAAAAGTCGGTGGTAATGACTTTTGAATCTATGCCTATAAAATTATATTATATTATAATATGATATAATAGAATAATAAAGTATTTAAAAGTAATAATTAAAATTAATATTTAAAATGGAATAATAAATAATAAAATATATAATGTAATAATTATTTAAATTGATAATAAATACAATTAATCTTATAGAATTAATGCACAATTATAATTTAATTATTATTTATTTAAAAGTATCTATTTAATTTTTAAATAAAAATAAATAACATGTGAAATTTAAATTGATAAGACTAAATTAATCTAATATTTAAAAAAATTAATACATTTTTAAATAAAATAATAAATAATATAAGTTTAATTTATAAATAATAATAATACATTTTGATTAAAATTATATAAATAAAACATTTGATAAAATATAACTATAATGTTTTATAAGTATATTTTGTGAAGGGGAAATCTATGTTTGTTTATGAGCATAACAATTTCAAAATTAAGGTATGAAACAGTATAAATAGAGTATAAATTGTGTTATATATTTTAGTATTTCATTCTTTCTCTATGCCACTGTATAAGAATACACTATAAGAATACAGGAATCAAATCGCATCTCTGATTTGTACATTTGTGTGAGTGGATTCAAGCATGTTTACCTTCGGTCCATCTTGTGGGACACCAAGTCGATACAGGACATGCTGAGAAAACGCCTTGAACAGCCCCTCACTGTGGCAGTCAGAGATCTATCAAATTACATACACACACACACACACACACACACATCTGTCAGTTAAATCTTCTCTATATGTCATTTGCACACAGAAGGCAGAGGCACACAATCATTAATATGAGGATGATTTGAGCGACAGCACCAGATGAGTTCAGTCTCACACAAAGCAAATATTCTATATCACACACACACAGCATCCGCTGATGTCATGCAGAGACGCATTAACATAGACAGATGGCAGCAGATGAACATGATGAGATGAACAAATGCTAAATGGGGAAACAAGAAACACTTGAGAGCAACAGAGGCATGTGGAATACGTACAAGAGGGGTGTTGTAGAAAAGGCCGTATCGCATTCTTGGAAGGAGTGAGAAAAACGCATCTCTGAAACACACCTGTGAACAACACACTTTTAAATAAGCTCAAAACCACTCAGATGCTGAGAAAAAAATGTTGAGTGATACTGAGTAAATGTGCTTTACCCTTTTGGAGTCAAAGTTTTTGAGGTGAATGATGTCATAATCGGAAAAAACCCGCCATGTTTCACTGAACAGGTCTCCATATCCATACAAACTCTAAAAGAAAAACAACTCAATAAATGAGAGTTAAAAAAAAATTACAACAACCCACAGGTAATCCACTTGACTCCATTCCATCAATTAAAGGGGTCATATGATGCGATTTCAATTTTTCCTTTCTCTTTGGAGTGTCACAAGCTCTTGGTGCATAAAGAAGATCTGTAAAGTTGCAAAGACTAAAGTCTCAAATCCAAAGAGATATTCTTTATAAAAGTTAAGAGTCAGCCACACCTACCTAAAACGGCTCGTTTTAACACACCCCCCACATGTCTACGTCGCTATGTGGAAAGATTTGCATAACGCCGCCCAAATGTTCACGCAAAGAAAGAAGGCATAACTTTTATTCTCGCTGTAGTATTGTTGCCGCCGCCGCCATGTCGTGAAGGCGCTGTGTTTCGTTGTGAAAGCGAAACTACTTTGTTTGGCCTTCCAAAAGAGGACACAACTAGAAATCAGTGGTTAAGTTGTATTTACAACACTGTTCCAGAACACTTCAACCCAAATATTCAGATGTGTCCAGCGCATTTTATGGAGGACTGTTTCCTGATCCTGGTAGAGTAGACTACAATGCCTGCTGTTCTGACTCACAGACTGTAAGTACGTTTTTTATAGTTAAAGAATTTGCCACTGACGATTCAAACGCGAATTTTTTGGGCAGTGTAGAGTACCGTTTGTTGTTTGTCATTTCGCCGATCACAAATGCAGACATGGTTTTATGTTTACGCGGCACAATATGCAACGCAAAGCGTAAAAAGACAGTATAAGTCATTATAATCCGTAATTATGTCCCCACTGGATGCTACAAATGCCTCGTTTGTAATGGGTTTTATTGGTTTTGTCTCGTCGCGCTGGACACATGGAAACCATAGACTGTATGATGGAAACACAGTATGGTGAGAGGCGTAACATTTCCGTCTCACGCTTGAGGTATTCGGACAATCACAACACACTGAATAGCTGGCCAATCAGAGCACACCTCGCTTTTCAGACCGATGAGCTTTGTAAAAATCTACGCGTTTCAAAAAGGCGGGGCATAGAGGAGAAACAATAATGTACAGTATGTGGAAAATAATGTTTTTTTTTTACCTTAAACCGCATAAACACATTTCATTACACCAAATACACAAAATAATGTTCTTTTTAGCAACATCATATGACCCCTTTAATGTCTTGTGAAGTAAAAAGCTGCGCGATTGCAAGAAACAAATTCATCATTTAGGAGTTTTAACTTTAAACCATCACTTCTGTCCATAATCCATAATAACTCTTCCTCTCACATCAAAATCTACCCACATGTTTGTTTAGAACTGTTTTCACTTGCAAACGGTGCTTATTTCATATTCTCTCCTGATTCAGATGAGGATTCATATTTTATAAAGTTTGAAGTTAAAAACTTATCTTGATGGATTTGTTTATTACAAATCCTGCTACGTTTCACTTCACAGGACGTTAATTGATGGACTGGAGTGGTGTGGATTACTTGTGGATTATTGTGATGTTTTTATCAGCTGTTTGGACTGTCATTCTGACGGCACCCATTCACTGCAGAGGATCCACTGGTGAGCACATGATGTAATGCTAAATGTCTCCAAATCTGTTCCGATGAAGAAACAAACTCATCTACATCTTGGATGGCCTGAGGAAGAGTACATTTTCAGCATATTTTCATTTTTTGGCTTAACTATTCCAATTTTTGTGAAAACCGTAATACTTTATGAATAGAAAGTTCAAAAGAACAGCATTTGTTTGAAATATAAATCTTTTTAAATATTATAAATGTCTTTACTGTGACTTTTAAACAATTTAACGTCTCGTTGTGGAAAGAAAATCATTTTTAATTTCTTTAAAACAAAAATCTTGCTGAGCCCAACCCTCTGTACAGTATTGTATGACAGCTTTGTGAAACCAAATCTCATTCACATTTCTGCATATTCAAAATATGCATCATGATCAGCCATTAGACATGCAAGAACCAATTCATTTATTCAAACAGGCCAGACAATCGAACTAAAAGGCGTTACCTTACATAAACTTCTCTCCTTACCTGGTTGGATTTCAAATTCTAATACTTTTTTTAATCTCTCTTAATCTCCTATTAAAGATACAATCCAACATGACCATTCAAATTCTGGACGCAGAGTTACTGCAGAGTTCATTCTCAAGTAAGTATATAAATATAATAATATTCTAGAGCAGATTTTATTTGGCAATCTCATTTACATTGTTTCATACAAAAAAAGTCTCCCTCTTTCTCCACACCCCTTCATTCTTCCTTCTCTTCCTCACCCTTGAAATACCAGCATGTGAACAATAGGCAGGATAAGGTTTTCTCGTAAATCACTTTATTTTCAGCCCACTGTTTCCTTTTTATCTTTCTCTTTTAGGAATTGCACACCTCCTGAAGCTGTGGCAGTCGGTTTAAACAACAAACCTTCTGTTACCGTGTTTTCTAATCCTGACAAGTAAGAAACATACGGAAGTTCTAAGCGGCCATGCATTATTATTTTTTTCCTTCTTGTTTTCTCGTTATAACGACTTATTTTCTCGTTATATCGACATAACGAGAGTTGTTTTCTCATTATAACGACTTATTTTCTCGTTATATCGACATAACGAGAGTTGTTTTCTCGTTATAACGACTTAATTTTCTCGTTATATCGACATAACGAGAGTTGTTTTCTCGTTATAACGACTTAATTTTCTCGTTATATCGACATAACGAGAGTTGTTTTCTCATTATAACAACTTATTTTCTCGTTATATCGACATAACGAGAGTTGTTTTCTCGTTATAACGACTTAATTTTCTCGTTATATCGACATAACGAGAGTTGTTTTCTCGTTATAACGACTTAATGTTCTCGTTATATCGACATAACGAGAGTTGTTTTCTCGTTATAACGACTTAATGTTCTCGTTATATCGACATAACGAGAGTTGTTTTCTCGTTATAACGACTTAATGTTCTCGTTATATCGACATAACGAGAGTTGTTTTCTCGTTATAAAGACTTAATTTTCTCGTTATATCGACATAACGAGAGTTGTTTTCTCGTTATAAATTTTACAAATTTTGCTTCGCCTAGTAATAACGTCTACAATACAAAAATAAAGGCTGATCAATCACGGTTGATATTTCCAGAGACAGTACGCTAAAAAATAAATAATGCATGGCCGCTTAGATCTTCCGTAGAAACATCTGTTTGTAAGCAATGTTCTCTAAGCACTCATGGTTGATTTACTGGATTTAAGAGAAATGAATACTTACTGTGTCCCACATGACAATGTTAATGTCACGGCTGAAGGAATTGTTGAGGTGTTGAGAGATGTAGAGGTTGACAAAGTCACAGAAATGATGGTACATATTCACTCCTGCAAAAGACAAACAAAACATGGTTTTTTTTTTTTAAACCTTAGCTTTTGTGAAGACTAAACAAAAAGACTAAACTAAACAACCCTCCACAAAAATATCACCTGCATCCAGCTTCATGAAGACGGTTGGTCTGTCGATTATAACATCACAATGGCCATCATCCAGGGGATGGAAGTCAAGTTCTGAGTACATCTGCAGCTCAGCAAACCTGAGAGAGGAAAAACAAGACATTTTCTTGGTACGTACATGAAAGTCTGTTAATTTAACTTAAATATATGCCTGCAAACTGATGTTTGATGGAAAACTACCTTGATAGGCAGGATAGTTCATCTAAAAGAGACAACTCTGTTATCATTTACTCACCTTCAAAGCTATTAAAAAACATCTGTTTGTAAGCAATGTTCTCTAAGCACTCATGGTTGATTTACTGGATTTAAGAGAAATTAATACTTACTGTGTCCCACATGACAATGTTAATGTCACGGCTGAAGGAATTGTTGAGGTGTTGAGAGATGTAGAGGTTGACAAAGTCACAGAAATGATGGTACATATTCACTCCTGCAAAAGACAAACAAAACATGGTTTTTTTTTTTAAACCTTAGCTTTTGTGAAGACTAAACAAAAAGACTAAACTAAACAACCCTCCACAAAAATATCACCTGCATCCAGCTTCATGAAGACGGTTGGTCTGTCGATTATAACATCACAATGGCCATCATCCAGGGGATGGAAGTCAAGTTCTGAGTACATCTGCAGCTCAGCAAACCTGAGAGAGGAAAAACAAGACATTTTCTTGGTACGTACATGAAAGTCTGTTAATTTAACTTAAATATATGCCTGCAAACTGATGTTTGATGGAAAACTACCTTGATAGGCAGGATAGTTCATCTAAAAGAGACAACTCTGTTATCATTTACTCACCTTCAAAGCTATTAAATTGATTTAAAAGATGGGAATATACAGTAGCTCACAGGTTGCCTTTTATGGCACTTTTTGTAAGTGGTAGTCATTGATCACGGTCTATTTTTATTATATGGAAAAGAGTAGCATGAACTTTTTTCAAACTCAAACAACAAATGGTTTGAGGTGAGTAAACCATGACAAAAAAATGTATTTTGGGGTAAATATGAAAGTATTAGCACATACATATCGTTCAAATGTTTGAGGATGGTACCTTTTTTTATGCTTTTGAAAGAAGTCTCTTTTGCTCACCAAGGCTGCATTTATTTGACCAAAAATACAGCAAAACTGTGAAATATTATTCCAATTTTAAATAACTGTAACTTATATTATATTTGTAACTTATGTAACTTATAATAACTTATATAATTCCGATGATGGCAAAGCTGAAATTTCAGCAGCCAAAAACTCTAGTCTTCAGTGTCACATGATCCTTCAGAAATCATTCTAATATGCTGATTTACCACTCAAAATTTGTTTATCAAATGCTGTATTCAAATTTTATTAACTGACCTCAATTAATAAATTGTTATAATGTTTTGTTGTTTTTACAATAAATGTTTTTACTGTCCCTTTTGAGAAATTTAACACATCTTATAGAATAACTAAATGAATTTTCTTTAAAGAAAAAAACAACTTAGTTGCTAAATGTTTTGCAACACAGGTAACAAAAACATCCTATTTTTTTTTTATTTGGACAAGAGTTATTTACCAAGACTGAAGAGGACTCTTGTGTGTCCCTTCTGCGGCTAGTGCTTTACTATTAAGGATGCAGTGACCACCGATCTCACCCTGTTCCAGGAAATCCTCATTATACCTGCAGTGACAGAGGAAAAGAGATGGAGAGAGAAAGAAAGGCAACTCATTTAGACAGGAAGTTCTCACAGTTGTGCCAAACAGAAAACAGTTTCACAGAGTTTAGCATTTTCCTTGACCTCTAACAACCCTAGAGGGGGTCACTGACCTCTCATGACCTCTGCGGGGACTCCTCAGGTCCAGGTACAGGTTTTTGGCCCAGCAGAACCGCATATGACTGGTGCACTTCAGAGAGGAATCACCCTTTAAAAAAAGATTTTAAACTTGTATTTGCATGTTTGTTCCTAGTATTGTTTAGACATGTTGAAGCAGTAATATTTGAAACAGCCCTTGTGTCTTAAGCTCGGTGCTCATTGACTCAAAGCTCTGGAGGTGGGCCAAGAACTTCAGCTTTACCATGGTAAAGTCACAGCAGATGAGGTGAACAAACAGCACAGAGGAAGATGATGTAGAAGAAGGAAACTCACAGGACTCAAAGGCTTGCACAAAGTCTTCATCTCACTGAGACGCTCCCTCACATAGCCAAAATCTGCCTGCTTCCAGAACAGTTCCTGGGCAGCCTGAATAGAGTTTGCCCTAAAGAAAGACAAACAGTAGCACTTTTTGGAGTAGCAAAAGACATTCAAGTCGTCTTTGTATTGAAAGTAAAGTCCTCAGATAAACTAAAGTCCTTGAAGTGCTTGAGTGATACCGTGGAAGAATAGGCTGTGCTCAAATGTTGAAACTTGTTTAAAAATAAATAAGCAAAATAAGGAAGCAAGTGTGTAAAGACACGGGTGTAAAGAAAGTGTGCTTCAACAAGGCAACTACAGGAACTACAGTTGACATGAAGCTTCAAACAGTGACAGCAGTGATATAACTCCTCTGAAAAAATACAAATATTCAACATGTTTCTAATTCTTATACAAACCAAACTGGGTAATACTTCACAATAAAGTTTTGAACAAAAATATTAAAAAGCAGAACTGTTTTCAACATTTATAATAATAAGAATTGTTGAGCACCAGGATCATGTGACAACTAGAGTAATGGCTGCTGAAAATTCAGCTTTGCCATCAGTCATTAATTACATTTTTATATATATATTAGAATGGAAAAGTTATTTTAAATCATACAAATATTTCACAATAGTACTGTTTTTACTGTATTTCTGATCAAGTAAATGCAGCCTTGATGAGCATAAGAGGCTTAAAAAACATAAAAAAATGTTACCAGCACCAAACCTTTGAGAAATAGTGCAAATATTGCTTGATATTCATGCCAAAATATCATTTCTGTCATCATTTATTAACCTCATGTGATTCCTACTGTTTGTGGTCCACAAAAGGAGATATTTTGTAAAATGTTAATGTTGCACTTTTCCATACCATAAAAATTGACAAAAAAATAAAATAAATAAAAATAAATAAATAAATAAACATGGGCAATTAGACAGTTAAGTAGATAGTGAGAAAATATAAAAGTGTAAAATGTACATGTTTAACTTCTTTAAATAGGTTAGCGAAGAAAGGCATACCATCCCGAGTCAAAACTGGTGCACACAGGATAGCTGAACCTGTGCTCAGGGGAGCAGCTCTTTTCATACCCCCAGCAGGCCTTCTTGAGCAGCAGAGCATCCTGCCAGCCAACAGAGACACACAAAGCTAAGAGAACATCCCCTTTATAATCATCTACAGCATATACACAACACTAAATGTTAGTGATAAAGTTAAAGCAATAGAGGCCAAAAAGAACAGCCTCTATTGCCCCGTTTGAAAACCATTATAGTTGAAGTATGACAATGTCTTTGGAAAAATAGCCCACTCATTTTTAAACCAACTTCAGCAGACATTCCATCAGAAACGAGAGAAATAGCTTACTTTAAAAGGGCAAAGTGGGTCCTCCTTGCATAGTTTGGCCAGTCGTTTGTTGTTGTGCAGAAAGAAAGGAATATGCTGCTGAGGCAGTGCCAGGCTGCTGTAGTCCAGCTGTGGTGTGCGGCTGCTGTCCTGCCCGCTGTCTGTGGCGGAGATGGTTTCATAAGTGCAGACCAGGCACAGAGCTACCAGCAGCAGCATAGTCCCTCAAGCCACATGGAAGGAACCACACTGGCTCTCAGCACCTACAATCATTTATGAGAAAGACAGAGAGAGAGAGAGAGAGAGAGCACAAGAGTGCTTAGAGAAAGAAAACGAATGGCTTACAGGGGAGGACAAACACCAAAGCTCTGGAAGTAACTATAGTGTGGGAACCTGCAAATGAACGGATCTTACTCCATGTGGAACTCCTACCACAGGAAATATTAGTGACCTTTTTCCTGCAATTGTTTAAGGAATAAGGCCAGGATTGAGGGAAATTAATAGAAAAACAAGTACACATTCTGCACATTCTGCCTTGTGCATCAACTCATAGCTGATGCACAAGGACCGTGGGAATTACACACATATATAAGTTAAGATGGAAATGATGGGCATGCATGTAATTTGTTCTCTGATCTGGGGTGATGAGTAATTTTGAACCACAGCAGTGAGGATTTTTAAATAACAATTCTATTTTCTGACATGGATATATAAAAATGCTGTGTAAGATCATGAACTATTTTTACTCATCCATAATGCCTGAACCTGTTATTATTTTTCACTAGGATTATCACTGTGTACCTGAATGGAATCAGTCGAAATCAATTTATTGCTCACAAATTATCATAGATAATTTCGGTAACACTTTATGTTAAGGTGTCCTTGTTACACATGTTACATGTACTTACTATTATAATAACAATTAATTATGCATAATTACATGCAAGTAACCCTACGCCAAACCCTAATCCTAACCTAACCATATAGTAAGTACATGTAGTTAATTAATATTACTCAGTACTTACATTTATAATTACACTGTAACAAGGACACCTTAAAATAAAGTGTAACCATAATTTTTTTATTTACACATTTATTAATTCTGTAAAAGCAAGCCTTAAAAAAATTTATTTCCCATTTTTATTACAACAATTATTAAAAACATTTAATTCACTGTATGTTATTTTGTAACTTTCTAGCAATTAACAT